AGCAACTGCTTAATCTTGTTTGGGTCTAGAAGATTTCTGAAATGGTATAGCAATTAAAGCATGTTTTATTTTCCGATTTGTAAACCAAACAATGTGAAGTAACTTTAGGACTGGTCTGAGGCCTAGCAACATTTATTACTACAAAAGCCTTATCAGGTTGGCTGTCAGATTTGAGAGACAACATGACACTTACGACATTAAGGTCAGTGAAGGGTCATTCAATTAAAGTTTTGGGAATGATTTTAAATGTCATTTTGTTTTTGGGGCACTATGTATGAAATATAAGTCATCTTTGGTATCAAACTAATTGTCTGGATTCAAAGAAATTATCTGACTTGATTGCAACGCTCTCAGAAGCATCTGTACATAAGTATATAGCATTGTACATATTCTGCCAGTTTTTTTATATATATATTAATTGTCTTTTATAAAACTGGAATTCCTGCAGCCTCTTCCCCCTCCAGGAGGGCAATGCTAAGCAGAAAAGAGAATATAGCCCTAGACGAAACCTGAATAATTTTGTAATCCGGTTTGAAAGCCAAATCAGCTTTGTACTGGATTTCCAGAAGGAATCCATGCTAGTAATGTGAATATTACTAGAATCTGTTACTTTTCTCCCTTTTTTTATCTATTTGTTGGTGTATGTAAACATTGTTTGTGATCTATTTGTAAATGTTTGTGTTTATAATAAATGTTCCTTATTAAAATTCTGCTTTTGTCTGGTATAAGAATCATGTTACTGTAGAGATTTATAAAATACTGGTTAGGGTAACCTTAGGTGCAGCAGATTTTATAGGTGTAGTGGTGTTACGAATGATATATATAAGACTTTCTTTGTAATTGAGTTTTTTATTGAGGCATAAAGGAAGATTCATTCCAATAAGAGAGAGTTTACATCATATCAAAATTTCACAAATAAAACATATTTCAATGCTGATAATATCAATCCTCTTAACTACCAATTTACCACACCCGGGTTAGCCCCCCATATTGAGAATTTTAACAAAAGATTATTCCATTTGTTAGATCTGTGTTAGATCAGGTTTGATCAACAATTTTTTTCGTTAGATCTACTCTAAAATATGCAATGTTAACAATCATTTTCAGGGGGGGCTAACTCGTAGCCAGCCCCCCTCAACAAAAATTTGTACAAAATGTTGTTGATTATGATAGCTCTATGTTAGACCAGGTTTTATCAGGCAAAATTTTTGTTAGATCTAGTCTAATTACTGAGATATTGCATATATAATTAGGGGAGGCTGGGCCCCCCTCAACTGAAATTTGGACAAAATGTTACTGATTTTGGTAGATATTCGTTAGATCAGGTTTGATCAACTGTTTTTTTGTTAGATCTATCACGCAAGAGGCGGTATTCACTACTTAACTTTGTGGGCGTGACTACGGGTTAGCCCCCCCTCAAGTGAAACTTGCATTTTATTTTATTGATTTTGGTAGATATTCGTTAGATCAGGTAAGATCAACAGTTTTTTTTCGTTAGATCTCTCACGCAAAAGGCTACTTAACTTTGTTGGCATGACTATGGGTTAGCCCCCCCCTCAACTGAAATTTGAATATTATTAAATTGATTTTGGTAGATATTAATTAGATCAGGTAAGATCAACTGTTTTTTTCGTTAGATATATCACGCAAGAGGTGGTATTCACTACTTAACTTTGTGGGAGTGACTACGGGTTAGCCCAATTTTCTGAATACTTTTATTAGTCCCTGGCCTTATCTTATAGTTAGGATACCCTATCCCACGCATGCTTAAACTCCTTTACTGTTTTAACCTCTGCCACATCAGCTGAAAGGCTATTCCATGCATCCACTACCCTCTCAGTAAAAGTAATACTTCCTGATATTATTTTTAAACCTTTGCCTCTCTAATTTAAGACTATGCCCTCTTGTTGTGGTAGTTTTTCTTCTTTTAAATATAGTCTTCTTCTTAACTGTGTTGATTCCCTTTATGTATCTAAATGTTTCTCTCATATCCCCCCTGTCTTGTCTTTCCTCCAAGCTATACGTGTTAAGATCCTTTAACCTTTCCTGGTAAGTTTTATCCTGCAATCCATGAACCAGTTTAGCAGCCCTTCTCTGAACTCTCTCTAAAGTATCAGTATCCTTCAGTCTCCAGTACTGCGTACAATACTCCAAGTGAGGTCTCACCAATATTCTGTACAATGGCATGAGCACTTCCCTCTTTCTACTGCTAATACCTCTCCCTATACAACCAAGCATTCTGCTAGCATTTCCTGCTGCTCTATTACATTGTATGTCTACCTTTAAGTCATCAGAAATAATCACCCCTAAATCCCTTTCCTCAGATGTTGAGGTTAGGACTCGATAAAATATTCTGTACTCTGCCCTTGGGTTTTTACGTCCAAGGTGCATTATCTTGCACTTATCCACATTAAATGTCAGTTGCCACAACTCTGACCATTTTTCTAGTTTACCTAAATCATATGCCATTTGGAAAATGCAAATTTCAGTTGAGGGGGGGCTAACACGTAGTCACGCCCACAAAGTTAAGTAGTGAATACCGCCTCTTGCGTGATAGATCTGACAAAAAAAAAAACAGTTGATCAAACCTGATCTAACGAATATCTACCAAAATCAGTAACATTTTGTCCAAATTTCAGTTGAGGGGGGGCCAGCCCCCCCTAATTATATATGCAATATGCAATATCTCAGTAATTAGACTAGATCTAACAAAAATTTTGCCTGATCAAACCTGAATGTAGAGCTATCATTATCAACAACATTTTGTACAAATTTTTGTTGAGGGGGGGGCTGGCTACGGGATGGCCCCCCCGAAAATTATTGTTAATATCGCATATTTTAGAGTAGATCTAACGAAAAAAATTGTTGATCAAACCTGATCTAACAAAGATCTAACAAATGGAATAATCTTTTGTTAAAATTCTCACTATGGGGGGCTAACCCGGGGGTGGTCACCAATTTGCTATATACAAGTGGAGTGTGGGATTTAAAGTAAAGAAAAACACATGCACTGAGGGTGATGTGGATGGCAACTTTAGAGTATGAAGGAGATCCCCTGAGCATGGTGTCTCTGCATGGCCCTACTATGGTTCCTGATGCCACCCACACATACATGATGCAGTGTTCCCTCAACAGCTTGGTGACTGGTGTGAACATGCATCTGTCCATCAGAATGGAGAACAGTAGGTCATCAAAGACCTTAACAGAACAATTTTCTAAAGTGAGGATGGGATGGTTTCTAGAGGAGGCCATATTAGCAGTTTTGACACAGATGCCAAGAGTAACAGCAACTCTAACGCTGGCTTCATCCGCAGGTGCAATAGGGGCCTTCCAAATCTGGAATGCTGACACTATTGGCAAAGATCCTTCATCCCACTGCCCATGTCACCCTATTTGCAAAGTTCTGCAATGCTACAGTGCCCACAATATCAGGCACTCCACGGATCCAGACATTTCTCCAGTGGTCCCGTACCTCAAGTTAAACAATGGTACAGGAAAGTGATTCCACCTGGGATTGGGTTTCCTTTAACCGGCCCTCTCGTTCCCTCTGTCGGGATTCCACATTGCCAATGCTTGAGTCACACAGCCTGCATGAAAAATATGGTTTCATTTCAGTCTGATGTTAGCTTACTTTCGAAGTTTTCATCTCCTGTAAATTGAACTTTAGTCACACACATGATGTGCCTGCAAAGTCTAGGAGGCTATAAACAGATCGGATGTCTCTTAACAGGAAGTGTTTAGGAAGGCTGTGCACAATTACATGCAGGAAAGTGTGACAAAAGCTGCATAAACAAAGATATATAACTTGCATAAAAGAAAGGAAAAGAGCCCAAAAAGCTTTTAACCTCAACAGTGGAGTGTTAAATGGTGGAAATTTGGACCAAATGGTGGAAATTTGACCACTTACGCTAAATGGGGATATATCCGTGTATTTAGAAATTGTATTGTACTGCAGTCCATATTAAAAAAAGAGAAAACTCACATGGAGAAGAGTCTCAAATAGGACAGGCTCAAATCTCTTCAGCAGTAGTGCCGTCTAGTGGAACTCTCTCCCTTTTTTCAAATAGTATTCCTCAGAGAATGAGACAAAAGCAACACAACAGGAAACACATTCTGGTGTAGTAGGTCACAATATCTGAGTGTTTAAGTAATAAAGTGCAAATGGCTACTCACCTTGTCCAGAGCCTGTAAACCTAGCTCTGGGTAGAATGGCTTGGGTGTCTATAAAGAGTAAGCTCTTTGAAGCAGCTTACTGGAGGACCCAAAATGGGCTTGAAGTAAAATGGACTTATTGTTTAAATGAAAACACTGTAAAAACAGATAAAAAAATAAAAGTGACACTATACAAATGGTAATGTCCACCATGGGTTCCTTTCCGAGACACGTTTCACCCTATTCAAGGTCTTTTCCATCAGTGTATGCTGCTTCAAGTGTAGTCTGTTGTTTAAATATGGCAGTGACCCTGTTCATTGATGGTTCTCTGTGGGGTCTAGCCAATCTGATTCAGCAATCTGGGGGGGGTCTACCCATGCCAGTTGATTCATATACTCTCAACCAGTCCATACCGGAAGTGGCATGGTGGTTCGGATTCTGCTATCTGGGGGTGTGCCAGCTGATTCATATTCGCTCAAAGAGTCGGTACTGGAAGTGACGTACTGCAGTGTGCAGCAAAACTGCTTCATTATAAAAAGCTGTTTCAGTGACTACAGTGTCCTTTTAAGCAAGTTTCTTGCCTGGCTTTGAGTGGTGTGGTTCATGACACCACTATCAAAAGGCAGAAAGATAGGCACATGAGAGAGGGTCAATAAATAAAATGCATTTTTTTTTTAAATAGCATTGCAGGAAGAGTCTAGAGGCACATAGAAGAAGTGGTAAAAGCATGGAAAAGTGTGGAAATAAGATGAGGAAGTCCATGGAAAATGTGAGGTAAAGCATGCAAGAAGAGAACATACGGTAAGCAATCAGACAGAAGGGGGGAATTTGCACGTCTTGTCTCCCTTGTTTTGAGCCTGTAACTACTTGATTTTTACGAAGTTATCTTCATCAGTAGTGAGGGCTGACTTGGCTGGCAGGACAGCAAGTGTCATTCCACACCATGACCAACGTATTGCTTCTCACCTTTCACCTCTCATTTCATAGGCTTATAGACCACAAATATAAAGGATAAATAGCCTTGTAGGTGTGGAGATTAGGAATATAAATAGTAACCCATTCTTCCATCCTCACTGCACACATCCTCTCTTTCTTTCCAACTATCTTAAACAATAAACCCAGATACTTCTTTTTAATCTTTCACTCATATTTGCTTTGAATCTAGAAGCCAGCTAAAAAAGTCAGGAGCCAGATTTTTTTTTAAACTTACAAGCTTTATATTCAACGACAAATATACAATTCTTAAAGGAACACTATAATCACCAAGACCACTATAGCTTAATGTAGTGGTTGTGGTGTCTATAGCCTGTCCCTGCTGGCTTTTCAATGTAAACACTGCAATTCCAGTGTTTATATTGCTTCTTAGTGACATCTCTAGTGACAGGCACTCAGGTGGTCACTAGAGGTGCTACCTGCGTCCGGGACAGACACAGGCAGCAGCTACATTCAGCGTCTCCATGTGCTGCATGGAGGCGCTGAATGTTCCCCATAGAGATGCAATGATTCATCTCTACTGTAGGAGGAGAGATGAATCAATGCAATGTATCACTATGAGGAGATGCTGATTGGTGCAGCATTTTTCAGCCAATCCTACGGGAAAACATTGGATTGTCTGAGATCATCAAGCTAGATAATCTCAGCCAAAAAACCAGGGCTAGTCGAGGAGAGACCAGCACGGCGTAGGAAAAAAAGTTAAGTATAAACACTATTCTCTTGCAAACGGAAAAGGTCTGGTCACCTAAACACACACATCATGACACAGACACACACACCATTACTGACGGACTCACGGTAGGTAATGGACTCACATATCCCAGATGCCAAGGCAAAATTCCAAGGCGCCATGGAGACCTGGCACCTGGGATTTGTCAAGCCCTGTGTTGGCTGTACAGCTGGTTCAGATACAATAGGAACAGTAAGTTCCATCTAATTTTCTTACCACTTACATATTTCAGTCTTATGGTCCCCAACCTCAATTTGTCAAGGTTTATAGTGACCCTTACATGCAGAGTTTAAATTAAATCTACAAATCCTAACATTAAATGTGAATTCAGTGTAGTAGGTAATTACAGAATAGTGAACAGGTAGAAAGGTCACAGACACAATAACACCAAGAATAACAGAAACAAACAGCAAAGCAAAATCTAAAGGTTTGAAAAGTCAGGAATATACTTTAAACAAATGAAATCAGCTTTGACTTAAACTTGGGGCATCTGAATTGTCATGTATCCATGGTACTCTATGACACAGCAACATAGGAATGCACTGCATTACGTGTCATCAGAGTTCCACATGTTTACAGGGATGGCAATGAGAACTTATACAAGCCGTAACATATGTTTACTTTTATGCACTCATTTATTTCATCAGCTAAATTATAGGAGATTATGGTAATATATTAATATCAGTTAAATATTCTCATTTGTTCTTAGATCAAAGAATCAGCCATTTCAACATCACTAGAACATTAATACAACTCCCTTATTACCTCATACCAGAGAGGACCCTGGTTACGTTGGCTTTCCTACGACTGTGTGGATTTAGCCTACACAGTAACTTTTTTTTCATGCCAGTTAACCTCAGTTCAGGTTCTTTGTTGCACTGTTGTTGACATTAACAATATTTTTATTTATTTTATTTCCTTTTCCTTAAAATTACTCTTCCTGCTGTCCAATTTCCCCTTTCAAAATTAATCAGCTTTGGGGGTGCCCTAAAGGTGGCCAGATGGCCACCTCCTAGGCCCCCTGTGACAGGGCTCCTCTCAGCACCCCCACCTTCGGGCACCTTGAGGATCGGCCCGACGCTCACCCAGTGCTGTGGCCACAGACAGGGGAAGGCAGCCCACCAGGAAACATCTCGGTGTGCACCCCCAGCAGGCTGGCGCCCTTTGAAAATGCCAAGTACGCCTAACGGTGGCGCTGGTCCTGTTCCCCATCCAACTACCACCGTATCTCGCTACTGCCATTTGTCTCCAAGATCCATGTTCCATGACATACAGTGAGTATCACTCAGTGCTGTCCTATGACACGGCCCCCATTAGGGGGGCCCGGCGGCAGGGCCGGACTAACCCACCGGGGCCGCGGCATCTGGGGGCTAAGCACGTAGGTGCCACCGGGTGGCCGGTCCAGTGGCACACTTTGAGTGGGCTTGCCGCGCTCCATGCTGGAGCCGCCGGGCCGGGTGGCAGCCTCACCGGTCCGGCGGCACGTCTGTCCTGTCACTAGCGCTGAGGACTGAAGGAAGGAGGAGCATGTCTCTTTTTCATGCTCCTTTGCTGTTCCCACAATTCCCAGCACAGCATCCTGAAGAGCATCCTGGGAGCTTTCGTATCCTGAAAATAAGAGATTCCCTTGTATGGTGTTCGCACTAGAACCCCATGAACGGAGACCATCCAGGACACCTATTTCCCTGGAACTGTTTTGGGCTAGCGCCTTGTATGTACGTAGTGGGGAATTTCGATGCAGCATAATACATAAACTAACCCCATTCACCCTCCCAATAATGACAGACAACTTAGTATGAATGAAACAGGCCACAGCATTTATTATAACATAAAATAAATTACTGCATAGCACATCCATAACTTTATTTATTAATTCTCTTCTTTTTTCTGTAACCAAAAACGTTAGACATAAATATGCATAAATTAACATATATATATATATATATATATATATATATATTTATAACTCAACACATAGTGTTATACAGTGACCCAACCATCCTTGCCAATAAACATACATTGTTCCTAATTACCACTTCCTCTCACCTCCCCCCTCGCCATAAAATCATATCTTTCCAATGCCCGCCACCAGCCGACCTTATCCACGCTTGATGGGCACGACATCCCAGGTAACCTAAACCAGCCGGGCGAACATCAGAAACATAACGACTCGATTCCCACCTCTCAATTCTCTGAATCACCTGCGCCGGCATGCCAAGTCTAGAGGCCTCAGTAACCGCCCCAATACTGAATGAATTCCCCCCGAACTCCCTGCTATAAATTCCCATAGCTTCCAGCCCCAAATGAAACACTCTAATAAACTGGAAATGGGAAAGGAAACTGCACCAGGAGGGGTAGTGCGGGAGAAGGGCGCAAGGTACAATACTCCCCAAAGGACCAAACAGGACATATGCCGGAACCCGGCACGGCCCCCAATCGGACCCATTTCCTGAATCCTGAATGAGATCTGATCAGCAGCGCAAGTAACGTTCCCAAATAGTACCCCCCCACCTGCTGCCGACTCGGGCACACCAGCTCCCCAATCCACATGGCACCAAAGAATGCCAGGGAAAACGCCAAGCGAAAGAGCCGAACCTCGAATTCCGAATGGCAAACCCTGTGCAACGCCTCACATAGATTAGTTAAAAGAGTGCCTGAGACAGGACGCCCCACCAAGCATGCAGAAATGGCTGAGGGGGACAACCCTGCAGCCTCCCAGCCCCCCAGGAGAAAAACCAGACCCTGCAGGCGAGTGGTTGAGTCCTGGGAAGCCCCGTAGGACAGCTCCCACCCGTCCCTTTCCCACAAAACCTTGTTATAGTGGGCCCATGTGGCCGCCAAGACCGACCAACGGACCAACACCATTAGTGACCACATCTCTGTTGGGAACGGGACACCCTCCAATTCGGCTTGCGGAGCCACTGCTCGAAACACGTCCCACTGTGAATGAGAGAGAGCATCAGCTATCACATTGCGAACGCCCGGGATTTGTACAGCCCTACAATACACATTAAGCTCCAAACAGCGCAGAACCAAGCGCTGCAGCAAGCGTACCACGGGGGGGGGAGAACTAGTCAGTTGGTTAATAGCCTGCATCACCCCCAAATTGTCGCAATGGAAAAACACCTGTCTGTCCTCCAGAAGGGAATTCCACACCTCCAAAGCCACCAGAATAGGGAAGAGCTCCAGAAACGCCAAGTTCCGGGTGAGTCCTGTCATATGCCAGGCCTGCGGCCATGAGTCCGAGCACCATTTTGACCCAGATGTCGCTGCCGCCAAGCGCCTGTTAAAGATACGCCCCATGGGCAAAATCCAACAGGCAAAATTGAATTTTCCCAGCAGAGATTGCAGGCAGTGTAGCTGGATCTTACGCTGCCCCATGGCCCACGAAACCGCTAGGCGCAGGTCCAAGACTTTGTCTTGGGGCAACCGACATTCCCCGGCCACCAAATAGATTTCAATGCCCAGAAAACTAAGGCACGTGACCGGACCCACCGCCTTGTCATGAGCCAACGGCACACCGAATCACTGGAACACCTCCCTGAGAATCCGCAGCAGCAGGCCACAGACGTGTGACTCTGCCGGCTCTATACACAGGAAATCGTCCAGGTAGTGCAGGAGGGAAGCGACCCCAAGAAAGGACGAAAATGCGCCCTGCTGAGGGGCTGGATGGGTCATGATGAGTTATTGTAACAGACCCTCCGTCAGTCGATGCTCTTAGTGCTTACCAAGGACCACCAGCACCGCACCAGACACCATAAGCACTGCAGATCTCACGAACCGCCGCAGCTTGTTTATGGTGTCTCGCCGTCCTCTACCCACCCTGGACCTATGACAAGGCTCCAGGTTCCAGTGGGTGAACCTCTCCTCCAAGAGAGAGTAGCAGGAACAAACTATTAAAAGAGCTTAGTGATTGTGGCCCAGGGGAGTATACAGAGTATAGCAATCCCCCAGTGTAGATGCAGCCTTTTCCACCACACATAAGACGAGACTCTATGTTGAGGGTAAAACAGGAACTCAGCAGATCTGAGGGTTTATTGTCTTTTATAAAGCTGTCCCCACAAGGTTACCACCCAGGTGGACCTTGTGGAGCACAGGACACAACGTCACAAAACCAATCAAAACAGTATTCTACAGTTAGACACTCCCAGATAATGCGCACAAACCCTCCCCTCTCCTGGGGATATAATTGAATAAAATACTATAATTAACTCAATTATCCCTAAGCAGAAAAAACAAATTTTTCACAAAACCCAGAAAACACCCCAAAACACCACATATCCCCTTATAGCCCTGATATGGGTGAGCAACATAACCAATAATCACCCAGATGAGAGCAGGGATTCAGGAAATTCCTGGAAGTCACATTTGACCACT